GGGAGGATTATTCTAATTGTAGATCTTCAGTCTTACTCAATATGGTTTTAATTGAACACCATAGGCTGATAGGATGTTAACAGAAGATTAATATTATGCTGAAATTTAGACATGAATATGATATCTTTAGTTCCTGCCCCTGAAAAAATTCTCATTAATGTATTTGATATTTAGGTTCCACCTGCTGAATTAGAAGCATTGCTGCTTACTCATCCGGAAATTACAGATACTGTTGTTATTCCGTAAGATTTAACTCTAAACATACACACATCCTTCTTTGTGATTTCATTTCTTTCTCTGTATGTTTATCATTCTAAAATACTTGATATAGTAATGCTCTTTTGTACACAATAGGTTCCCAGATGAGAATGTTGGTCAGTTTCCAATGGCATATGTAGTGAGGAAAGCTGGTAGTAACTTATCAGAGAATGAAATCATGGATTTTGTAGCAAAACAGGTAAGCTGAAAGGCCAGAGAGCATGAAACAGTTATTAGGCGTTTTTAAACTTACCCACGCTTATGAACTTATCTGAAGTTATTAACCCTTATTTGAACTAATTAAAACTTATTATTCCTTCTTTCAAACCTATTTACTCTTACAGAAAATCAATATTTGAACTTGGTTAGCGCTTATATCTAATTTTTACTTATATATCTTGGATGGGAAACATAGAGTAGAGTACAAGTTGGGATCTATAAGGAGACACGCAAATGTCAAGCTATGTTTCCATTTTGTTCATTCAAAGTTGTATGAAATAATTTAACTTTTCGTGGTGCAGGTTGCTCCTTACAAAACTTACACAGAACAGTAAAATTACACTAATAAATTAGTGGAATTACATTATTTACTCAAAATTTTAAAAAAATTAGTGATGAGCAATTGTTAGTTTGATTAATGATGCGCTATTCTTTAGCAATGTATGTAGGTATTAATTACTTACTAACTTTTGTTTTTTCTTTTTAATTTTTTATAGATTCATATGTGAATTGAAGCACAAGTTTAGCTTGAAGACTACATATTTAGCTCAAGTGGGAAGTTAGAAGGAATACATCCATTGTACTTGCTATAGTGGTATGAATTATAAACTTAGTCTATATTTCTTTTTCTTGATTCATGATGAATGTTTTTTCATGCTATTACAACTTGTGTATTGTTTAATGACAAATAAATACAACAATATGTAAATGCTTGCATCATTATATGCCTAGATACCCGTTCAAGGCTTTCTCATTAGGAGAAAGCCTTGAATAGTCCCCGGTTGGGACTGTTCTTGAACGTTTACTCTCACTTAGGTGGTGAATGTATGTCTTCTTTTTCCGATTTTAAGGAACATCTTGGCTTAGCATTTCCTTACACTGTTCTCTGGGTACATATGTGGGTATGTAATTATCTACATCATGTGCTTGGAGAACTGGGGGGAAATGTTGCCGGATTTTCCTTAAAATTGGAAAGTCAACATACATTCACTAGTGAGATTAGACGTTCAAGGAAGGGTTAGGTTGGAGTGATAAAGACCCTTTGGAAGCATATATGCATTTTTTTACTATAAGAATGTTATATGCATGATGTGTGTTTGAATTTGATTTAGATACATAATATATGTAGTAATTACACATTATTCGTAATATGTTGCTATGTTTAGAGACAATTTACTCATTGGAGAAGGATCGTGGTTGGATGTATGGTAGACGTGATACATTGGAATTCTTTGATGGAGTTCAAGAGTTTTGCGATAGGGCTTCGTCTTACCAACGCAGAATGGGTGTCAATTGCCTATTTTGTCCTTGTGTTGACTATAATAATGTGAAGGTGGTCAATAGTGTTGATATCATTAGAGATCATGTAGTTTGTCGTGGGTTTAGGCTTAAATACTATGTGTGGATTTGGCACGGTGAAGAAGGAGAGTACATTGGGGATGTTGATGGGAATGATGTGCATGATAGAAGCAATGAGATTCGTGTGGACGAGGATTACAGGAATGATGCATATATTATTGATAATGGTGATGAGGATGGATTTGATGATGATCAGGTGGATGAGGTGGAGGATGAAGGGGTGGATGAGATGATGCGTGGTGTTGAAGGTGACGTGTTTGAGTCGTTATCGGAGGCTTCTAAAAAGTCTTTGTATCCTCGGTGCTAAAATACTCCAAACTATCAGCTGTGCTAACACTGTTTAACATTAAGTCGAAGCATGGGTGGACGGACAATAGTTTTACTTCTTTGTTGACCGTGTTAAGTGAGATGTTGCCTGACGGGAATGAAATTCCCAAGTCTTACTATTATGCAAAGAAGCTCATGTGTCCATTTGGTTTGGAGTATAAGAAGATACATGCATGTCCTAATGATTGTATTCTTTATCGAAATGAATATGAACAATTGGAGGAGTGTCCACGATGCAAGAAGTCGCGCTACAAGCGCATGAGTTGCAATGCTGGTACAAAGGGACCTCCTGCTAAGGTGTTGTGGTATCTTCCCATCATTCCAAGGTTTAAGCGTCTTTTCTCAACACCAAAAGACGCTAAAAACTTGAGGTGGCGTGCAGAGGGAAGAAAGAGAAACAGAATGCTGAAGCATCCAACCGACTCCCCGCAATGGAAGAACATTGATATGAAGTTTGGTGAATTTGGTAATGAAGTCAGAAATTTAAGGCTTGGGTTGTGCACGGACGGGATGAATCCATTTGGCACTCTTAGTACCCAACACAGCACATGGCCGGTACTTTTAGTGATCTACAATTTGCCTCCTTGGTTGTGCATGAAACGTAAGTATGTATGTTATGCTTTCACTTTTGATAACGGGGCCAAGGCAACCTAGAAACGACATAGATGTTTATCTTGCGCCACTTGTTGACGATTTGAGAAAGATGTGGGACGAAGGGGTTTCTGTGTTTGATGCTCATAAGAATGAGATGTTCACATTGCGTGCAGCTCTTATGTGGACCGTTAATGATTGTCCTGCATATGGAAACTTGTCTGGGTACAAGAACAAAGGAAAAAAAGCATGCCCCATTTGTATTGATGACACCCTAAGCATACACCTTGATAATTGTCACAAAGAGGTACACGTGCGGACTCGAAGGTTGCTCAGGCGCGATCACCCGTACCGTAGGCAAAAAAAGGCTTTCGATGGGAAAGCGGAAGAGGGGATTGCGCCTAGGCCATTGACTGGTGAGGAGGTTTATGCTCGAGTTAAGGGTATATGAACAGTATTTGGGAAAACAGAAAAAGCTGCGGACTCAACCGCTCTCTTCAAAAAAGAATCAATCTTTTAGAAGCTTCCGTACTGGAAAGAATATGACGTTAGGCACTGTCTTGATGTAATGCATATAGAGAAGAATGTGTGTAATGCTCTTGTGGGAACGCTGATGAATATTCAAGGCAAAACAAAGGACGGAAAGGGTGCCCGGTTAGAATTGGAAAAGATGGGGGTTCGTATAGAATTGTGGGCTCGGAAAAAGGTTAGAAAGGGAAAGGAACAGGAAACGAAAAATGAAATGAGTTCGAATGAAGGAAAGGGGAAAAGAAAGGGAAAGGGAAAGGCCACGGATGCGTCGAAGAAGAAATATGCGGGAAAAGTCAAGGATGACAAGGCTTATTTACCTCTGGCTTGCTACACATTGTCAAGGCACTAGTAGAAAAAATGAAAAAGGCACCCCCCTTTTCGCACCGGTTCTTAAAAACCGGTGGGAAAAAAATTGGGCGGGATTTGGATAATTACTTTTCGCACCGGTTCCTTATAAACCGGTGCCAAATCTTGGTTTTCGCACCGGTTTGAACCGGTGCTAAATGTTTTTATTAAAAAAAATAAAAATAAAAAAAAATAAAAAAAAAAGAGGGAAAGAGGGATTTCGCACCGGTTCAGCCCAAACCTGTGGGAAAATTCATTTACAACCGGTTCGAACCGGTGCTGTAAATTAAACAAAAAAACCACTTAATCGTGAAATTTAATCTGTGGTTTATACACACGGGTGTACAGTGCTCATCATACACCCGGATAAATAAAAAAAAAGGCGGAAAGAACATCCTGTGTTTCATAAAGAACATACATGTATTTGACAAAGAACATGGTTGTAGTTGACAAAAACATGCATTACCAAAGAACATAAAGATATAATAAAAAGAACGAGATAAAAGCTTGATAAAATTTTCTGAAAAATTACACATTATTAACGGGAAAAATTTAGAAGTGATAAATAATCGAGTAGGGCCGGGCCATATCATAATTTCTCGTGCTCAAACCCGTAGAAAAGTAGCGGGTTTTCGGGCTTTTTTCGAACCCGGATCGAGTTTTAACTAAAAATGCATTTTTAGGTTTGCCCAAACCCACCCTATTTCGGGCCGGATCGGGTCGGGATGTGAGTCATGCCAATGTTGATCACCTCTTAAAAAATCCTTACCAAAGATATCATTTCCCCAAAAAATAGTTTTCTATCTCTCCAAAAAAAAATTCAACTTCCCATAATAATTTAGTTTTTTTTACTCTAACATTATTTTCAATTAAAAATAATTTAAGATTTCAATATCAAATTTCAAAATACCAAATGTTAAAAAGAACATAATTTATATTGTAAAGTACATATAGTTAATACCTAAATAACACACTAATCAAACTCAAAGAATGTGCGATAATAAAAGTAATTTAAATATGACATGATAATAAAAAATAGAATTTGGGCGTCACTACGACCTTAAAGAACATACACGCCAAATTCAAAGAACATACTTTGTATTATTAAACCCAAAAAAAAAATATGTTTATCAACATATGTTAAATAACATAAGTTATAATGTAAAGAACATATAATTTTACTCAAATAACACACTGATCACACTCAAATAACATATTAAAAGTATGTTCTTTGTCAAACATAGGTATGTTCTTTATCAAACACTATATGTTCTTTCCGCCTTTTTTTGTTTACCCGGGTGCACCATGAGCATGGTGCACCCGGGTGTATTATCTAATTTTCAGTGAAATTCGATCTTCTTCTTCCTTCAATTCAGTTTTCATTCCCCTTCTAGCTTTTCCACATTCAATTCGCACCCCTCTCGTTGTCGCCTACCTTCCCCATAGTTGTACGTCCTCCATCGAAGCGCATTCTGGGCTTTCTCATCTCCATTGCCGCAACTCGTCTCTTTCTCTCCATAGCTCTCCTCCATTGAAGCGCATTCTGCTGAGCTTTCTCACCTCCATTGAAGCGCATTCTGAGCTTTCCAACTCCATTGTAGCAGCTTCAAGGTAAGATTTATTTCGTGGTCTTCCTAATCTATTGAATTCCTTCGCAATCTAGGGATAGTCGTTGATTTAGGGTTTTCTGTTCTTTGTGGTTTGCTGTTGTGACTTTAATTTCGAGTTGTGCATTCAACAATAGTAAATTGTTTTAGGGTTTTGATTGTTGCTGTTGTTTATGAACTTGATGGTTCTCGTTTGGGCATTTGTTTATGAACTTGATGGTTCTCCATTGCTGGGTTCCTCAGCTTTCTGATTTGGCGCTCAGCATATCTAACGCGTGTACTTAGCTGGAGAAACAGATTCTATGTTGCTGTAAACTGGGCAACCACTCTAGTTTTTTGGCAGGGATATTTCAAAGATAGGAAAGTTGTTGTTGTCCCTATTGCATTGAGGTCCTTTTACTTGTAGTTTGTGCTAAAACTTTGGACGTTATTTGATTTATTGTAATCAAATTTTGCGAAACTGAATACTTCTATATATGATACTCATATTATGATAGAATTACAGTATTAATCAAACAGATCAAGGTCTTTTGAACTAATTAAGTGCGAAATACAAAAACTGATTAGTACTCCGATTATGTAGTTTCTCAATCTTATATGGCATCTAAATGAGAATGTGCTGATCTTGGTAAAATTGCAAGAAATGAGATGAAATTGTGCAAAGTTGTTGTGGTGTAATATTGGATAAAATTGCAATTATGTAAGCTGTTGTGATGTAATGAGCTGCTTGATTTATGTTGGTCATTACTCGTATAATATTGGATAAAATTGCAAGAAATGAGATGCAATTGCGCAAAGCTGTTGTGGTGTAACACGTGGCATAGGCTGGCAGCATCTCATTTAGATTTAAAATAAAGCATAAGAAATTGACCATATAGAGGTTTCCCATGCTTTACTGTGGTAGACTCAGGATACATGCCATCTTAAATAAATGATATTGTGATATTGTCTGCTCAGTGGATCTAATTTACATGTAATTTTCTCCTTGCAGTTGATATTATATCAACTATTGAATTTGACAAGACTGGGGATCACCTTGCTACTGGAGACCGTGGGGGCCAGGTTGTTTTGTTTGAGAGAACCAACAGAAAGGGTGTAAGTGCAATCATGCTTGTTTGATTCACAAAGTAACTTTCTTTGATTCTAATTACATGTTGAGGCCTATAACCTATATATAATGTGATCATATGATATGTAGCCTGGTGGACCTAGAAGAGATCTTGTTAATAGGCATCCTGAGTTTCGCTATCAGACTGAGTTTTAGAGCCATGAACCAGAGGTAGGTATCTTCATTGAATCAGCTGTCATAGTTGATGTTTGTTTCTCTTCCTTTTTGTCCTTAACTTTGCAGGAAAAGCTCACATATTTACCTTTTGGTTTCAGTTTGAGTACCTAAAGAGTTTAGAGATTAAGGAGAAAATTAATAAGATCAGATGGTGTGAGATGGCTAATGGCGCACTATTTCTTCTTTCCACTAATGACAAAACCATCAAATTCTGGAAGGTGAGGAAACTCTTGCTTGCTATATGTCTTTGCAGTTTATTATAGGATTTGTCTATCACTAGATAACTATCGAATTTAGGCACTTTCTGTGGATGAAGATATTAGTTGTATTACTCTTCTTGTCTGACTTTTTTTATCTCCCATATGGTAGTTTTGGATAGGTATAATTCTTTGTCTCGTGTCCATTATATCTCACCGGATAGCTTCCTTGGTTAGGTTTCGGGAGAAAAGAAAAGAGAGATGTTTGGTAACAAAACAGGTATACTATACGAAAGGAGGTTGCTCAAAGGTGAGATTTTTCTCTAAGTTTTTTTTTTTTCAGTTTCATATTTCTCAGTCAGTTTACCAAATTGTTATGGCTATGCTGTTGTATTCCCTGTTGGTCTGTTGGGAGTTCTATTATTATCTATGCTAAGGGATTGCTTCTTGACACCAGTGTGCTTTATTTCTCTTTTCTATTTCTAGGATGCACCGCAAGAATGGCCAATTTGCATCTTTGAGAGAAGGTTCAGCATCTTTCAATTTGGAAGCTAAAAAGAACTTAGTGGTTGGTAGAAGCCTGGGACCAGAAACTGTGTGAATCCTTGTTAATTTAATCCCCGCTCCTCCCATATGCACAATGTGCTGAAGGATAGTAATTAATTTATCTCTGAATTCCTGCTTATTCCCTTTCTAATTTTCTCTATAATTTCCAGTTCAAACAAGTGCCAGCATTGTGGTATTAGTGAAAATGATACACCAGCAATGCGACGCGGACCAGCTGGTCCAAGAACCTTGTGCAATGCTTGCGGACTGATGTGGGCCAACAAGGTGTGAATTCATAATATTGTATTTAAAATGTTTTAGAGTTGAGATTCTTGAGAGAGATAAAATGTTATAATATCAACATATATGCATTGAGCTTTGCGTAATTAAAATAATGTGCTGTAGGATAGAGGAAACCATTTGTGTAGGATTCTATTTGTGTAAAATGGTCTATGTAATCTAGTTTCTGATACTAAGGAGGGATTATGTTGCTAGAGAAGAAATTATGAGCCTGATTTGATAATTGAAACAAATTTGGTTGATAATTGAACTATGAAATTGGACCTATTCTCCCATTACTACTACTGTTTGATTGGAAATATGAATTTGGACCTCTTCTCCCAACAATGAACAATGATACAGTTAGAATTAGATTCATCTCAATAAATTAATCCAATAGAAAATCATTTTATGGTTTATATGCTGTATTTATAGGTAGTGTGATAAATAATAATGATCAAACAGAGACACAGCCACAGAAGCAAACAGATGCCCAGCCTGCCTCTTTTTTTTTTATTTTTTTTTTTATTATTTTTATATATTTTTTTTTTGTTTAATATTTGAATTCTTACGTCTACGCATTTGACTCTACATCGTGTAAAGAATGTAACCTCCTCAGTCTAGGTAATTACAGTCCGTATATGTTCTTTACAGAAATCTTGTTGGAGCCGATTTGGGTGGTGAATTGGGGCATAGGATTATTCACATCTATTAAATCAATGTAAGATCTCTCTTTTTGCTATATGGACTTGTAACTTGACCCTGTTAGACACACAGGAAGTAATAAAATTATCTTGTAATTGAAGGAGAGTGGTATCACACAACAGATTGTCTAATTGCTTGCCTCTATTGTGCATTTGTGTAGTCCTCTGTTGTAAATGTTACTATATTTGAATGTATTTAATATTCTTAATCTTCACCAATATCTTACTTGTTTAGTCTTGCAGTCTTTTATTGTTGATCTGCACGAGAAGTTGACTGGCATTAGCATCTATGGTGCAGTTATGGACATCTCTCAAGAAGCAAATACTGCAAAATCTATATTCAATATGAAGATTTAAGATCCAACAGGAGCTATTTATGTAAAGCTGCATTTAATGAATCTTGGTATTACTAATTTGAAGTTTCGAAAAATGTTTCTTCGTTAGAGGATCAATTTGTTTGTTGATTTCTTCAATCATGTTCTTCAGGTCTTTAGGGAGATTGAGTCTTGATCACACTGTGTACATCTCTGGTTTGACATGTGCCAAGACAAAACACAAGGGGTGAACTCAACACTTATTTCCAATGATTATTGATATGCACATATCTTTATTGGCTATTGGTTTCTCTGACCAATTTTTGTAATCTGGTTCTAGTTAAGTAATATAAAATTCTGTATAGCCTCACCTCAGATTGTAATATATTAAGTTTCTTTAACAGTCTAGAAGCACGATGGTTTGAAAATGGTCCTGGAACTTCCTTTGTCAACCTAAGCTACTTGCCTGCAATCTTGAACTCATCTTGTCTCCACAAGCATTCTTACCTTGCTGATGTGTCAAGGCAGAATACTGGTACACATGTATGTCCTCCACAAGCTGGCATCTTTTGTATCACCTGGCTGATTACGTGTTTTAAGTGATTTTCTGCTAGATAGCATTCATCAGTTTGATAACTGAATTTGCATGTTGGTAGCATAGCCTATGACTGGTTAAATATGTCTTTGTCTCTGTTTACTATATTTTCGTTTATGAAAACTAAGATCTAGAGCTGTTAACTCTTATAGACTCTGCTAATGCATCTTTAGCCAAAGCTGAAGCTTGGGGTTTTCAAAAAGTCTTCTCGTGTAGAACTAGCTAGCTTAAATGGTGAAGTCTCTGGAGTAGTACCTTTGTGGTTGCTGACTGAGAAAGTAATCTTCTCTTGACTAATATATTCTCCTGGTTTATTTGGTCAATCACTCAATCCTATAAAATTTCGCTTTACTCCTAAACCAGGAACCTTACTTATTGTAAATATTCTTAAGTCATTATATACTACATACTTAAATCTGACAATTCTTTGAAGAATACAACTGAAACCCTTAAGTCGTTTTTTTTTTAACCTTTTTTTATTGACTGCTTCCTGTCTTTTAGAAATAGAATTGGTTGTGAAAAACATATACCTAAGTAGGATTCAATCACAATAGTAAGAAGGGGAGGGGGGTGGGTGAGGGGTTCTTTCAGAAATAGAATTGGTTGTGAAAAATATAAACCTGGGTAGTATTCCACCACAAAACTAAGAAGGGGAGGGAGGGGGGGTCTCACTGCATGAGAGTATACCTTATTTTTCGTGAATTACAAACTAAATCTGATGATAAGTTAGATTGTTCACAACTCTTACCCTGTTTCTCCTGCTGTCAATATCGAGCAGATTTGCAAGGTGTGGCTGGACCAAATTGAATACTGTCATGTTAATACAAGATTGGCACATGTTACTTGTGGTCATTTTGTTAAGACAACTGCAAGTGGTTCTGTTGAATGTGAATTTTGTTGCTGCAACTGTGAGACGAAAACTAGATGCACTTTCCATGTAAAAATAATTGTGGCTGATGATAGTGGTAAAGTCTTTGCATGGTGTATTGGTCAAAATGCGATTGAACTACTGCAAATATCTCCAGATGAATTCTATGAATTGCCTGAGGTATGCTTCTTCATCACCTATTTCCTTTTCTTATAGGACACCTGTTTTAGTTACTGCTAAGATTGGAACGTAATTTCATTAAATAAGTCCAAACCAATTTTGTCCTCGCTTTTGGGAAAACTCTGCTCAAATATTGGGGTATTTGTGCATAATGTTAGAAATAAAGTTGGTGGTAGAAATTTTCAAGACGATTGGAAGACAATAGATTAGCATTAAGCTTAGTCTAATATTGTTGCTTCCCTTGGCATTCAGGAGGAACAAGTTATTTACCCATGTTCGCTGGAGAACGAAAGATACATGATAGCAAAACTGTGGTCAGCAGGAAACCATCTTCAAGGAATGTGTGACTGCAGAAAATGAGATGGTATACTTCATCTTCGTTTCAAATTTCTGATTTGCTTATTGAATTGCAATAAAAATCCCAACCTTGTATTTTATTTTATTGTATATTTTATTTTTTTGGAAGAAAATTGTAATATTACAGCCTATTTTAATGAAAATAGGTAACTTTATATATATGTTAGTGTTTATATATCAATTTAAGTGAAAAAAATGCAAAAAAAAAAAAAAAACATTTATTTCTTTGGGGCATTTTTAGCACCGGTTTTGAAACAGAACCGGTGCTAAAAGTTTTGTTTTTTAATATTCTTGGGGACTTTTTCGCACCGGTTCACATCAAGAACCGGTGCGAAAAATAAGTTTTCGCACTGGTGCGAAAAGTCTTGGGATTTAGCACCCCCCAAATCAAGACCGGTTCAAAACCGGTGCTAAATGGGGGGTTTGAACCAGTGCGGATTACGTGTTTTTGCCTAGTGAGGGTAGAAAAACGGATGTTTTGTGCATGTCTGTACGGCATTAAGGTTCCATCAGGGTACGCATCTAACATGAAAAGATTTGTTTCCTTGAATGGAGAATTGAAGCTGACAAGTATGAAATCCCACGATTGTCATGTTCTGATGCAAGTATTCCAACCAATTGCAATACGTGGTATTTTACCAAAGCACGTGAGGGAAGCTATTACAAGCCTCTGTTCGTTTTTCAATACAATATGCAGCAAAGTGCTTGATCCTTGTACACTTGATGCTTTGCAGGCGGATGTGGTTGTGACTATGTGCAAATTTGAGATGTACTTCCCACCCTCATTTTTTGACATAATGGTGCATTTGATTCTTCATTTGGTGCGTAAGATTTAATTGTGCGGTCCAGTGTTCATGAGGTGGTGATATCCTTTTGAAAGACACATGAGTACATTGCAAGATAAGGTAAGGAATCGGGCTCACCCGGAAGGAAGTATGATTCAAGGGACCGTGGGTGAAGAGATTGGTAATTTTGTGGCCGACTATATAGCCATTGTTGAACCTATTGGTCTTCCTACTTCTCGACATGAAGGGAGACTTGATGGTCAGGGCACAATCGGGTCGAAAAGAATGTCACCTGACCGAGATAAGTTCTTACAAGCAAACCTATATGTGTTGCATCATGTTACAGATGTTCACCCATACTTAGATGAGCACCTGGCTAGTTTGCGTGATGAATTCCCATCGAAAGGTGAAAGGGCTCGACAATTGTACTATGTTGAACGGGGTATCAAGGAATCAGTGCGTACGGGAGACAAGTTCATATTCGTCCCGTGTTTTGAGGAGTACGTCCGACCATGTCAAATTCATTTGTTTCCCCTAATTATATGTTGCACATGGCTAATTATTGATTTGTTTGTGTATTGTGAATTTATGTAGTTCACATTGGACCCTGCTGGTGATTTGTGTTTCCAGTAACACAATCTTCCTTTTTTATTCTGCTCGGTTGCCTCATCCAAAAAAGCTCCTCGTGAAGTTTGTACTGCGAAAGTAAATAAAGCTCCCTAGTGTTGATTATCATTACCTAACTCATTTATTAGTCATACTAATCAAGTTTGAACTTACTTTTCTATAGTGTTATGAAGAAGATAAATTGTCGAGCTCCTCAAGGTCCCACATGGAAATCACCGATGGTAATGCTACATGATATTGTGATTTTCATAATAAACAATGCGTAATATGTTGCTAGTTTGCTATGCATGTTTGATTCATGTACTTTGTTCCTATGCTAGTGCGCACAACAAGATAACGGAGTTGATTGTGGACTATACGTGATGAGATTCATGTTCGACATACTGAGTCGTTGTACAGACACACTACAGCTTGATGAGGTATGCCATTGACTTAGTTAATTTGCACTTTTCGTGTGATTTGACAAGAAATGTAGGAAATAGACATCCTAGTAATCATGTAGGCCTTATTTGGTTCATTTTGAATGAAATTGCGTCCTAAAACCATTGAATTGATCTTTTAATGTGATTTCAAGGCTTAGCCGCCTATAACTAGGTAATAATGACATGTTAAGAGCAAAAATGAGTTGATTTGATAAGAAATGTAGAAAATAGGCATCCAAGTAGTCATATAGGCCTTATTTGTGCCATTTTGGATGAAAATGCGTAATAAAACCCTAATTACTTGCTCTTTTAATGTGATTTCAAGGCTTAGCCGCCTCTAACTAGGTAATTGCGTCCTAAAACACTTGAATTGTAACATAATTTTTGTTTATCCAAGTTTTGCAAGGTACATAAAGGAGGTCCATTGACGAGCATGGAACTTAATGAACTTCGAGACATGTTGGCGTCTTTCATCACATTTAATTTAATTTGAACTTGTTAACTACATTAATAATTAGTATTGTTTGTAAATATGACACTTTTTTTTTATAAGGAGTTGTAAATATATATGACACTTCATTGTATTGCATTTGGGATTATTAATTAATATCTATTTATAGTTGTTATTATTTCAATTTAGAAATTATTATATTATTATTGTTATTAGTATTAATAATAATAATAATAATAATAATATAATAATAATAATAATAATAATAATTATTATTATTATTATTATTATTATTATTGATGGTAGAATTAATGCAGGATGTGCAGGTTATTATTATTATTAATATATTATTTATAGCAAAAATATTTTTTTTAAAAAAGGGGTTTTAGCACCGATTTTTGCTTAGAACCGGTGCAAAAAGTGTTTAATATTCAAGGCGCGCAAGCACTTTTGGCACCGGTTCTAAGTAAAAACCGGTGCGAAAAGTTGTGTTTTTGCCACCGGTTAACCCCTAGAACCGGTGCGTAAAGTGATTTTTGCCACCGGTTTTGAACCGGTGCAAAAACTATGGGGTTTTAGCACCCCCTAAATACAACCCAGTTCAAAACCGGTGGGAAAGGAGGGGTTTGAACCGATGGGGAATTGGTTTTTTCGCCTAGTGCATTAAGGCACTACCTGGTTGCAATTAGACTATGTTTCAGGAGGAGGTTAGGGACAAGTTTTACCTTAGTTTCCTACTAAAACAGAAAGCTAAAGAATTTTCTAACCTAGCAATGGGAGACATGTCAGCCATTGAGTTTTATACTATGTTTATTAAACTGTAAAAGTTTACCAAAGAGTCTGTTGCTACAGAAAAAGGCGAAAGCTAGGAAGTTTGAGAGTGGATTGACCACTGATCTTCAATTAAAGTTGTGTGGACAAGTGTTCGAAACCTTGGATGAAGTTTATGGGAGGTCTGCACACCTTTATGCATTAGAGTAGAATAAAAGGAAGGAATTAGCTGAGGTGGAAGGGAAGGAAAAGAGAAAAGAGATGGGACAGAACTTTGGAAACCCTCAAGGTAACCAGAACAACTTCAAGAAGCAGAAATACCACCAAAACAACAACAGCAACAACAACTTCAACAACAACAATCGTCAGGGTGGATGAAATTTCAACGGATAGGCCTAAGAACTATAACCAGGGAAGTAAAAAAGGTCCAAGGCATTATTACTGCAAAAGGTGTAGGAATGATCACCCTGGTAAAGACTGTGAGGGTAACTTGGTTACTTGCCGCGCTTGCAACAAGCTGGGACATAAGGAGTATAAGTGCTTCTCCAAAGATTCAAATCGAAACAAGTATGGTAATAATTAAGGAGGGGCTTAAAAAAAACTATTAGGGAAGCAACAACTATGCAGGGAACAAAGGGGCACAACAAAATGGGGTAAAAAGCAATAACAATGGGAATGGTCAGGTGAAGAGTGGAGCTCCAGGAAAACTGAATGTGATAAGTAGGCATGAAGCTGATGCTACGAAGGATCTTATTACTGGTACTTTTTCTATTAACTCTATTCCTGTTAAAATTTTGTTTGATTCTGGTGTAACTTTTTCTTTCATTTCAAAAGCCATTGTTTCAAAGCTATCGCACTATTTGAAAACTGTAGATGTCATAGATGTACCTATAGTTATTCCTACGGGAGAGGTAGTACAATGTACCAAAACCTTTAAGGACGTTCCATTAGAGATCAAAGGAAAGGTGTTTCTGTCCGACCTCATTGAGTTTGGGTTAAGTGACTTCGACGTCATCTTGGGAATGGATTGGTTAAGTAAGTATAGTGCAAAGATTCGTTGTCGATTGCAAAAGGTACAGTTAAGTTAAGTACAGTCGAGGGTGAGTTGGTAACACATTGGAAGCATGGTGAAACAAAGTGCCCAAGGATCATCACTATGATGAAGTTGGCTAAGCATATTAAGAAGGGGCATCAAGTATAATTTTTGTAATGTAAGGAACTTGGAACACGAAGAGAGAGCTAAGCTTGAGAGCATAGAAGTGGTGAATGAGTTTCTAGATGTGTTCCCAGAAAAGATTCCAGGAATGTCACCCATGATTGTTTGATGCTTGATTTCAATAATGAGGAATATGAAGAATTTTCATATCAATTCGGAGTTTGATTTGTGTTCTCCAAATCGTCTAATGTTTGCATTATAAAATATCCACTTACCTTAATGAGTCAAACAAATTAATGGAAATAGATTTTATTTACTTCTCTTATAGCATGGAGTACTAATATAATGTACCTACAATATTCTACTAATGCACTTATAGTGTATTAATAATGTATTTGTAGTATTCTGCTAATGTTTCTAGAGTCTTCTATTAATGTATCCATAATTCTAGTATAAGAGAAGATATTTGTTACGCCTGCACTACATTTCTTTTTAAACAGTCAACTCTATTTGAGTGCCAACAGATGTGAATTGAGCTTGATATAAAGAAAATCATGTCTTTAATTTTACTTTTTCTCTTTATTTTTTTGATGTATATGCCATATACACTTGATGTATCCTTAATATTTACTTAATGTATTTATAGCAAATTCTTTATGTATTTGGGTTGCTCACGCTTCTCACCTTATGTACCCTTCTCACCGGATCCTATATATATATATATATATATGGAATAAGTAAGAAAAATAAATTTGGATAGAAAATAAGTATTAGGAAGTGACATGTGTCATTATTAGTGTTTATTTTGGTATTAAAAGTAGAAAAAATACACTTTAACAATCCCACATATTGCCGATTTAATTCTAATAATCCCAATTAAGGTTTTTTTTTTTTTTAATAATCCTAACCATGCCCTAATTGGTCCTCTAATGGTCTCAAAAACCGGTTACCTGCTATAAAGGTGAATTCTTGTTTTTGTTTTTTAAACACCACATGTTAGCACATGATTGACTTAATATAATATAAAAAAAATTAAGAAAAAAAAAAAAACAGAAACCAAAAATCCTAGCCCTCCCCCCACCGTGAAATCCTAACCCCCCGAAAATGGCCGGATCAAATTTGGGTTTCGATTAATGGTGGTTGTTGTGCGACTTAGTGCGAAATTGCTGCGAATTAAGGCTGAAATTACATTTTCTGGTGGCCGAATTATTGATTCCGGCAGGCAATGTTAATGTACTTTGTGGTGCGGGGCTATAGAAGTTGTTCTTGGTTCGTGGAGAGGGAGTAGCAGCAGGGTTGCGGTTGCCGCTGCAATCACTGGTGGCTTCCGCTGCTTTGTTTGCACCATTGCGGTGGCTACTGCTGATTTGGTTGCGCCATTGCGGTGGCTGCAACTGCTTTTGTTGCGCCATTACAGTGGCTATCGCTACTTTTTTTGTTGCGCCATTGCGGTGGCTTCCGCTGTTTTCGAGGGAGGATGGGTGGTTTGGGGTTGGGAGTGGACCGGCTAAGGTGGTTTTTAGAGTTGGGAGGGGCCAACCGACCAGTTTCGGGGGTAAGGGGAGACAACCATCCGTTTTCCGACAGGCTAGGGGTTCGCTCTGCCGTTTTGCGGTGGCATAAGGGGAAGGGGTGGTGGCTGTTAGGGTTTTTAGTTTTTTTTTCTTTTTTTTTTTTTTAATTTTAGACCATTGCAATGATCACGTGCTGACACGTGTATTGGTTACCTGTTACAACAAGTCGTTGACTTGGTGTTGACCGATTGGGTTGATTTGAGTCAAAGTCAGGGCATAGTTAGGATTATTAAAAAAAAAAAAAAAAAAAAGTCTTAGTTGGGATTATTATAAGTAAATCAGTAATAGTTGGTATTATTAAAGTGTATTTTTTCTTAAAAATATAAATAGATAGATTATATTGATTATTCATTAGTTTAATTTTTAAAATTTCCATGATTCGACATCATTTAATTATTACATATTTACATTACAAAGTTTCACGTGTTTTCATATGAAACTAGTTTTAGACCCGGGCGATACCCCGGATCATTGTAAATATATTTAAACTAAATTTTTTATGATAATTAGGTGAAATATTAACATAGATTTGTTATATTTTATTTTTTTGGATTAATTATTTTTATAACAGTACTTATACTAATTTTTTTTCAAACATAATTGAACATTAAAATTCATCATCTAATTTATTTCCCAAAAAAAAAAAAAATAAATTATCATCTAATATTGAGTATCCTAGTTATTATCAATTTATTTTGTTCTTAAATAATTATAAGAAATTCTTTAAAATTTACATATATGTGGAAAAAAATTTGCATAAAAAGTGCAACATATTTTGGGTTACATATTTCAAGGAAATGATTTTGGCACACCAAAATTGATTTTGGCATACCTTTATGTGAGAACACAGTTTTCTATGCTCTTCTCACATAGGGGTAAACCAAAATCAATTAAGGGTGTGCCAAAATCAATTTCCTTCAAATAACTATGGTGCAACATATTTTTGGGTTACATATTTCAAATAACTATATATTGTTCTTAATTATATGTATATAAAATCTATATGTATAATTAATTTTGAAATTTATGTACATAATTAACTCTTTTAACATTATTAACATAAAATGTGTCTTTTTTTATGCAAACATAAAATGTGTCTTTAGAGTGATGGTAAAACTTGATGAATTATAATGACCATAAGGTCATGGGTTCAAATATCAATTCTAACAATTTTTTGTTTGAGAAAAGAATGGTGATCATTAATGGACTTCTATGACATGGTGCCACATCATATGCCAAGTGGCAAAATTGGTGACACATGGTAGAATTGCATGTCTTGCCATGAGTTTTAATAATACATATTGATTTTTATGATGTTCTTTTTATTGTATACTTACTATATTTTGGACATGTAATAATATGCTTTGTTAAAATAAATACTTCCTCCGTTCTCTTTTTATTGCACCATGAGGGATTTCACGCTTGTCAATGCATAACTTTAGTTATTAATATCCTTCAATTATACTTTTGTAAAAATTATAAAAATTTGATATTTCAAAAGTTGATTTCGAAACGAATCTAACTAGATCCCACATAACTATGGTTTTTCTAATAGATAAATCACAAATGATGGTCAAGGAAGATTAAATGAATAGTGTAAAACTTCTTATGGTGCAATAAAAGAAAAACAAAGCAAGTGCTTCTTATTGATGGAGTATTTCACAATCATATTTGATACTCCCCTCCATTCCTTAATTACGTGCTAGTATTTCTTTTAGGAATTCTCTAAATATTGTGTCTATTTCAAAATCTTTCTATTTAAAGGTCCTTTTTGAAACTGTTGTCATCATCGAGCTGATTTAGTTCTTTCCATCTTCACTTTTTTTGACAAGTTGTTGTTATCCTTTTTTGTACTATTAATGCCTATTATGATCAATTCCTAACCACACTTTTCCTCTGTTTCTCTTTTTTCATTAGTTTCCAACCACTTTTTTCTTTTTCTCTCTCTATGTCTCTCATCAACCCCACATGTACAATTATACTTCCAATTATGTGATATAAGGAATCTTTAATTTCCTTGTGAAAAAATCCAAATGGGCACGTAATTAAGAGTCAAAGACAGTATGATCTTTATTTTATGATGGTGTGTTGTCAAAATTATCATCGAATTTGAATGTATGTGAAAAAATATATATTAGCGATATATGTAATAATATTTTTGACATATTTGTTGTAATATAAATAAAGAAAATTTGTTAGGAACTACCCACTAAATACGAGTATGTCATTTTGTCAACAACTACTTGTTTAAAAATTTTATAAAAAAAAGTACTACCCTAAATTTAAAATCTTTTAGTAGTACTATCTTTTTTTTCATTTTCCGGCACCGAATTCTGACGAGTGAGGCCACTTATAATTTTCCCTCAAAAATATCAGTAAAAAATGACGAATTTGCCCCTAATTTTGTTAACTTTACCAACTACCTTCTCTCCCTTACATTCACTCACTTTCTCCTTCCCCTCCTTTCTCTTTCATTGGACCATAAGAAAAATCTTACTCTTCCATTAGCATTGTCTTTCTCTTTTCCTTCAATCTCTTTCCTACGCAGCAAACACATTCAACAAACCTCCTTCAATTCCCGGGTTATCACTTGTCCATGATGTCACTATTTTTGGAGGAATTACAGTAACATTTGCTTGGATATTCTTGAATTGAATGAAAAGAAGAGTTTGACATGCTAAAATTGAGGAATTTTACACAATTAAGAAGCCATAAAGAGTGTTTTCGTAACCCTAACTTATCCAATTACATTGAAAATCAAAAAATTTCCCCAATTTCGAATAATCCCTAATTTATGTCTCAACAAAGAACCCTGATTTTGTAATTATTATTAAACCCTAAAATCAGAATTCATAATTAATGAAATAGAGAAGCATAACATACATATGAATTAAAACACAAGTACTTTATCCTTCTTTAATTGGTGATTTTTTTGAAATTTTTAGGGGGTTTTTAGTGGAGTTTTGCAAAGAGGATGAGGGAAATTTGTAAATGGGTCCTACTTGTCGGAAAAAAAAAAAGGTAGTGATACTCAAACTTTTTAAATTTAAGGGTAGTTAATGAAAATTTTTCCTATAAAAATAACATGGATCTTTTTTAATATGGGAAAGTGTTACATACAAGTCTAGGCCATATCCGTAAACTGAGAGAGAGTACATTTCACAAGACCAAAGGAGGTTATATTGCAAAACCATATGACAATAAGAGGAGTAGTCTCTTAGCCTTAAAAAGTGTTTAACTCTCTCTTCTTTTCTCAACATGAGATACTTACATGTGGTGTTTGAGAAGTTTATACTTTAACAGAAATAACTATGATGGTCAAATAGAAAAGTTATATTTCCTATTTTAATACTATGTTAAATATTTCTTAGAAGAATTAACAAAAAAACAAGGAAAGATTAAAAAAAAATATATATATCTTTAGAGAAAAAATACAGCACTAAAAAGTGACAAATATTATGCCTCGTAAACTTCACCTTATTTTTGTTGAACTGAAATTATTTTTACTGAATTGAAATTATTTTTACTGAACTCTCTCGAAGTCTGTTTTAGTATTCCTGTATGTTAATGTATTGACTGATTAATTGATTATTGATTTTATCTAGGTGCCGAGGGCGGGGATGCAGTGAATCATGAAATGTTGAGCGGGAAGCGCGCAGTTCACTAAATTGAACACGCACTCAGATATAGTGGTTAGGAGAGAGAGAGCAGCAAGCAGCTGCAGAACAATGGAGACTGAAAGTTCTAATTACGACTTACAGAGCTTGATTGAAGCCATTAAAGCTTCGGAAGTAAGCTTTCTTCCTAATCTCTCTCATATCAACTCCCCTAATTTCCTTTTATTATTATTATTTTTTTAATTTCTGTATAATTTTTGTTCTCAATTTCGCCATGCTTTTATCATCCAGATGTTTTCTATATTGCTCATTTTTCCAATTATTTGCTACAATTTTCTGAGTACAGCAATGTTAATCTGTTGTTCAGCGTGTTTTTGATTGAAATTTTTAACCTATTTTCTGTATCAATCGTTCTATGACTTGAATTTAATCAATTATGAAATTTAGGGTTCTGAAGGCTAAATTAATTTTTGAATTCGTTTCTGCTGTAAAATTTGAAAAGTAGAGATCAAATGTGTTTTCTGTTGAAATAATTGGAGTTAAATTGTGATTTTGATTCTGCATTGAGACCTTTTGGTGTTTTCCTTTATGGTAATAATTTGGCGCCAAAGTGGCTGTCCATAGAATGCTCTAAATGTTGATGTTTTATAGTCCTTAATTTTATATTTCGTTTAATGTAAGCGTGTTAAGTATACGGAGTACTCGGTTTGACATTCATATTAACCTAAATTTAGAATAATTGTGAGCAATTCTTTGATAATTGCCATTGGGAATGAAGATGATTTTCTAAATGTTCAATTTAAACTATTAAATAATAGGTCAATATGTAGAGAATAACTTCCTCAGTGTGATATCTTGGGAAATTGGGTTAAGGCTCTGAAGCTGTAAAAATTCCAGAACAAATGTAAATTGTTGGCGAAATTCCAGAACAAATGTAAATTGTTGGCAAAATTCCGGTGGAAATTGTGCCGAAACTAGTGTTATGGAATCCTGAATATATGCACAATGCACTCCGTATATTTCAGTGAGGTAGCTCTTCTTTTGATTGGTTTCTAGTGAAGAGCGAGAAGCATTAACTTAGTAACCTAAATGCATAGTTCATCATCTGATAATGGACTTGCATATGAGTATATTATGATACGATTATATGAAAGTATCTTTCTCTTGAATTCTTGAAGAACTGTAAAGTATTCTGTATTAACTGTCATTATAATTGCTCGTAGTTTATTCCATGTTGGTCACAACAACCTTTTCCTGCTTTTGATTTAAGTGTCCCATCTTCAAGCTAGTGAACTTATTCAATATTCCAGATTTTTAGTGATCATTTTTGCTTATTCCAGTTATTTTTGGATGTTATATGCTTGTATCTTTAATTACTTATTGTGAAAGCTTTTTGATATCACAGCTTGTTGAGACTCGTATTCAGCTGATCCTAAAGCTTGGGGTTGCAGTACCACCTGATAAAAATCCAGACGTGGATGCTCTTCTAGAATTTCTCATTGTATCCTATGTTTCTATAATAGTAATATTCTAATATGTGTCAATGCAACTGAATTTTATTTCTTAAAATTAAAAGAAGCCACATAAACTTATAATTTTGTGTTTCTGTTGTCCCTGAAGCTTTAATTTGATGGTTATATCACCGAGCAATAAGTTTTCAAGATACTTATTTAATTTTAGTTATTATTTGCAATCTATATTACCATATGTATATCTAGGGTGAACAAAAGTTCTTGGAATTCTAGAATCTTTACTGTACAGCTATAGAGTATATTTAATTGAGGAAAATAGTAAGAGATTATTAGTTCCAAGCTTCACTCGAAGCTTGCCTGAGATCTTATGTTCAAGATGTCACTATACAATGCCTTACACAGTTAATTTTGTGATTGATATGTATATTTGATTTATAACTTTAGGAATTGCAACACTCTCCTGTTGACTCGATGTCAAGCACATTATAGTTTCTAATGTCTTTTATATACACTGATATGATCCTTCTGATATTATGCTCTATTTATAGTCAAGATTCCGCTTCCAAACGAGTGACGACTGGAATACTAAGCATAAAGCCATTGAATATTTACCATAGAGAGAAATTGTATATAAAGCTTATATACCCATGAACTTTCCATTTGTGACTGAGTCCTGAAGATATTATAGCAAATTAGCAACTCAGTGTATGGTGTTTCTAGCAGAATTTGAAGCATTGAAGTGCTCTTGAGCTTTTGAGGGAACCTATGTTTTTTGGTTTCTGACATTTCTATTTCTGCACTGTTGCTCCTCTTATAGTGGCCTCCTTGACAAGTAGAAAGACATTATGGGAAGGCTTTACATGTCTGGATGTGTCACAGTGCTTATTGAACAAAGCAATATTAGATGTGGCTGCCAAATACCTAGAAGGAGACCGCTTCAGGGGCCAGGGAAAGTTTCTAACCCTGGGGCCAAGGTATTCATGCTAATATTTTATATGGTCTATGAAGGCGAGTTGTTTTATGCTCACACTCATTTGGATTATAAATAGGCCAGCGAGTGGTGTGCAAAGCATCTGAAGATGACACTTATGTCGACTGATCATTCTCAAGAAGAGGAGCATTACAATGTATATTTTCAGGTATACCACATTTTATCTGTGATTTGACCTTTTTTTGTCTTTCCTTGATGTACTCCTATGGAATAGTCTTATAAATGCAGGTTTCGGTTTATTTCTGAAATTTTGGATTCTCCACGCTAATTGATGCCTTTCCCCCTTGGACTTGTAGCCTTATGATAGATTGGTAAAAAAGTGAGTGGAGAGAGATTTGCAATGTTGTATTTAGTCAATAAGTATCTTAATAATTAATTCTTTTTTCAATGAAGAAAGAGAGAATGTTAGCGATGTGAATTTCACCCTGTCTTGCCTCTTTGCTTTAAATAATTATTACTCACAATCGTTCCATAACTTATCCTAAGCAAGAAAATTTTTATTGGCAGTTGCTGTTGGAATGTTTAAACTTTTCCGTGGTCTGCTTTTTGTTGGTGATAAAAAACCCAACATTGGGAGATGAGCTGCTGATGGATGCCTTTGACAAGTTCATCTTGGAGCACCTGAACTTGATTAAAGAATTGATATCTGAATTCAAGGTTTGTTAGCTCATTTGGTTGATATTGCTTAATTATTGGGTATTCTTGCATTTTCTTTATGATGAGTACTTGTGAATTCATATAAAGTGCTGGCCATTGAGTGTCTATTTTCTTTCTGTACTTTCTATCTATATAAAATTGTTGAACCACTTGTATCTAGAGTGAGATGAATTGAAGATCCTTTAAGGATTATTATTCTTTTAAAGATGGATTTACATATATTCTTTCATATCATATATAGGCACCGCCTCACCGAAAAAAATTATAATTCATTTGCAAGATTGAAGATAGTGATCAAATATTCCTCAGATGTTACACATAAAATGGTTTATGAATTTCCAATTTGAATTTTATATGCTATCTGACTATTGGTTTAGTATGAGGGTTGCAATATGTGATGTTATTTATAATTCCATCTTCATTATGAAAATTTGGTGGTTGCTTGTGACACTCATAAACTTCATGCAGAAAATTCATTCACTAACATCAGAATTACTAAGGGGAGTTGAGTTGGCTCTAGATTCTATGATGAAACTCTGCAAAGTGTATTCACAAACAGTAAATTGGGATCTGTGGAGCCAGACAGCTGTTCAAGATAGCAGTAGTTTGGATGGGGAAAGAGCAGTAGATTTTAATCATGTTGTTAAAATCATCAAATTTACTATAGAGAAGCTTTCTGAACTAGGGACCCTAGCTGCAGATAGTGGTGGGAGTTTGGTTACTATTCTGAATATGTCATGGAAAGGTGTTGTTTCTTTGCTTCAGCTTGGAGAAGGAAAATTAGCAGAGAAGATTAATGTAGGAGATATCATATTGACTCTCTTTTCTCTGGCCACTGACTCATTAAAATGTGCAGCTGAAACTTGGTATTCCTCACTTGATCAAACTATATCAGTTATCGAAGCAAAAAGAGCATTTCTTCCAATTAAATTTTATCTGATCAATGCAGCTAGGATATCTTCTCAGTATCCACATCAAGCATTTTCAGTATATCAGGATGCAACTCTTTGTATCTTGCTTCTTACAACCTTGAGAGTTACATTCAGCAGAGAGACCAGTCTGAAAAATGTCTGTGAAGCTATGGAAGAACTCTTGAAGCCTACATCTCTACATGTTCTGAAGTCTTTACTAAAGTCAGCACAACTGAGTATAGATCAGAAACTCAGAATTCTTGATTGGTTATTTGATGTTGATAGAGTCTTACCCTCCAGCCATTCAGAGCATGACACTGATATCCAAAATGGTTTGTTGGATGAAATATTTTCAGTAACATGTGAAGCTGTGTCTACTACCAGAGTAATGTTGCATGGCCGGGTGACCCTTTTTATTGACCTACTAAAAGTTTCTTCAGACCTAGAAGAAAATGTAATACTTGGGATCACTAATAAGCTTCAGTTGTGTTTGGATGTTTTAGTTGATGTAGAGGTTTATTCATCTGCTTTGGTTTTACTGATTCCTGCATCATTTGGTGATGGCAAATCGTTAGTTCTGAATTGGGAGCCCTTTTTGGTTTCGTTTCTGCGTTCACTAAAGATCTTTATGATAGTTGTCTCTAGAACTCAAGCTTGGAGTGAAATGGAGTTGTTCCTACTTTATAATTTCTTTCATCCTCACTTTCTTTGCTGGGAGATCATAATGGAACTCTGGTGCTTTTTAGTGGGTCATGCTGAGGACGCCACAGTTACTGCTGTTATCGATAAACTTTGTTCATTATACAAGGTTATTGCCTCTTCAAGCTCCCTTATGTCTCTGCATTGCACATTGAGGAAAATGGCCAGATCATTGTGTCTGCTTCTTGCTTCATGTACACCATCCACAGTTGATAGAGTTTATAGGTTCATTATGATTGATGACAAATCACATGATTCTGCAGTAATGTATGCAGCATTGTTGATGGAAGGTTTCCAGCTGAATTTATTGTCAGATAACTTGAAGATTGCTGCGACAGAGAGAATCTTTAGTGAGTATATTCACTTTGTTGATGATTATATTGACAGTCCATTGAAGTTTTGTAGTGCTGATGCTGTAATGCTACCAGCTGTCGCACTTAGCTCTGCTCTGCAATCAATGTGAGTGATCATAATTTTGTTTCTATGTTTTCCACTTTCAACTATATAATTGGACTTGTTTATGCCAGTGAGATGGGGCAGTAAATTATTCCCACGTCTGTTGCTCTTTTAATTGGCAGTTTTGCTAATTGCCTGCAGCATATGTGAACTATGTTTATCTGTGTTTGAAATTCGTCCCTTTCCCTATATATTTGGCTATCTTCTCTTGTGGCGCAATCGAATTGGTTTTGTTACAAATGTTTTGTATGTTTCTTATGGGGCTTGAGACATTGTATTTTAGTTCTTTGATGATTTGTGTTTCCTAGGAGAGGTAGGGAGGGAAATGTGGTACTTAATTATTTTTATTTATTTATTTATTTATTTTTTATCCCATTGTTATCCTAAGCTAAAGGTTTAGTTTTATGTTACTCCACCATACCCTATTTTTCATGTTAAAACTGCATGCATGTCTGTGTTGCACCACTTTGGAGAAGAAAGAATAAAAGAATGTTCCTTCCATCCTAATTCAATATTCTTATCAAACATTCAGTCTGATTTAAATTTCTCTTCTAGTTGCTTAAAATCTGCGCAAAAAAAAGTCTCACTTATGAAGTTGGTCTGCACTTGCTTTTACTACCAATTCAGTCACCTTCCTATCAATGTCATTGTTTTGTTTAGACATATCATATTTCCAGTTGGAAACTTGGAAATCTGCCTTTCAAGTTTCAATCCTTAGTCGAGTCGTAAGCGGAAAAGCATTCTACCTTTCAATCCTTAGTCGAGCCATAAGCGGAAAATACCCCCCCCCCTCCCCCCACCACACAGACACACACATACACACATGAAATTTTAATTGTGCTCATGACCTGTTTGACTCTTCTACAGCCTTGTCCTATTGTCTAAGTGTAACATTTCATTAAAATGATCACTACTTGCTCTTTTTAATTGCAAGATTTGCTTTTGTGATTTATGCATTTGGGAAAAATATAGGCGTGTGGGATCTTGTTAGATTTCTTGATATATATACTTTCAAAATATTAACTTTTATAGATTTTACTAAAAAAAACATAAACTAGGATATTATTGTTATAAAATGTGTACATTAACAAGCGTGAAATCCCCAAAGTTACAATTAAAAAAGAATAGAGGAAGTATACCGTATAAGCTAATAGAGGTCCTTGCCCATAAAACATATAAGTTGGCAAATCAAACATCTTTACTGAGCTCTATTGTAAGATTCTCTGTTACAGGAGTATAAGATAACCTATGCAACTGCTAATTGTGTTTATTAAGATCCTCTGTTTCAATTCTGTACCTCATTTTTTTTTTCTTTTTAATTTCCCTGTATTATTTCGTTGCTTGTTTGTTCATCACTTCCAGTATGTATCAATTAGTTTGTGCTAATTATCAAATGGTGTGCACATATTTGTATTCAGTTATTTTAAATGAAAACTCTTTTTTGTCTTAGGCAAATTGATCCGTCCGGAATTGACAGGAAAACGTTGAAATTTTTGTCAGTTGTTCTTCAAACTTATAAGAGGTCTGCAGACAGGATTACCAAGAACCATTGTTGCAGGCTTTTAAGTGAAGCACTTGGGATCATATCAACTGCAAAGCATTTGTATGGCAATGATCAAATGGAAGACATAATTATCGAGCTAGAAAACATGTTCATCTCTGTGCCTACTGGTGGGGAATCTGAATTGCAGAAGTGCAAGACAGCTCTAGCTTCATTCATGTCTAGTTTGGGTCATATGGAAATGGCAGAGAGTGATGATAATGAAAAGACCAAAGCTGTGTTGCACTTATATCACATGTTGTTAAGAGAGAGACATTGGGCTCTCCTTCATCTTGCGGTATCTGCCTTTGGATATTTTGCTGCTCGGACTTCTTGTCATCAACTTTGGAGATTTGTCCCAGCAGATGCAGCTCTGTCATATGATCTAAAAACAGGAACTAATGCAAATGAGGAAAGGTTTATGTCTGAGTTGAAGGTATTTTTAGAGAAGGAACTAGCTCTTCCTGCAGCAACAGCTTCTACCTCTGAGCAGCTTCAACTTGTTTTGAAGGATGGCCTTATTCTAAGAGAGAAATTTCAAAAGGATTCATACCTCAATGAAGATGCTACGGGGTATGAAAGCATGGTCCTAGGACATGAAAATCTATCCAATAAAAGGAGGAAACTTCCTGATGGATTTAGTAGAGGAATGGAGTTGATGCAGAATGGTTTGAGAACCATGAAGAATGGTCTGTCCATGTGGCAAAAGGATCAACCTAATTCTATTGAGGTTGATGATAAGATATTGACTCAGTTCTCACGTCTTGAAGAAATGGTTAATCATTTGGCAGGGTTAGCTGATAGTGACTGAATCCTCGAGTCTCGATTTATGGGGCGTCAGAACTGTACATCTTGAAAATATCTAAAGAAACAGGTGGTAAATGCTTTGAGACCTTCATAGTTAGTATGCTTACTTTTGGTTACTAATGGGGGATTGCTATCCTACTTCTGTCAAGCACATCTATTGGAGGTTTGAGGATGGACATAACACCTTGATGACAAGAGCTAGTCATTTCTCCATGTTTGTCTACTTGATGAATCAATGGGTGAATGGACAGAAGCCCTTCATGGTTGCTACACCAATCAATTGACTACATATCCGTTTTATGATTGGTAAAGAAAATATCTGTCATTTGACTGTTGCTGCACAAAAATTAATCGATGAACTAGCTTTATTGACCATTTTTCCAAATTGAAGGATCTTCAAGTTCAGTTTAATCTCAATTGGAGAGTAGTCAGTTCAATATTTGTTCACCAAGCAGCAGACATCAACTGCTGACTTGTGATGGTAGTATAAAGTTGCATGCGTAGTTGAGGGTTTTCATGTAAACAGGCATGTATCTGTGGGCACCAGACCTGTTGAGTGCATGACTAGCACTCTAACGAGGAACTCTGTTAAATTCGATTGTGAAAAGAGAATAATTGGATAGTTGGCTTCTCTGTGTTTGCTGCGATATGACTATATGAGATGCTGCCAATGATAGTTTAGTTGTCACGTACGTCAGTACGTCACCTTCAACTCTTATCATAAACAATGAGATTCTAGGTTTCTTCGGCAGTGCTCTTCAAGTCCCATGAGAACTTACTAGGTGAGCTGTAATTTTTTTTATTTTGGAAATCAGAAATATTGGCAGCTTGGGTACTCTTCCAAGCCAATGCATGAGCTATATTTTAGATATCACAATCTAGATTTTTAAGTATATCTTGATTTTAATTTTTATTTACTACTACTTTTTTTAACAGAAGTTGAACCCAATGTAATATAAAGCATAAATTAACACATACGAACGATGAAATGGGCTGACTGCAAACTTAAATGAGGTGAGAACCAAGTTTTTCACGTTAAGCTTGTTTATGCATAGATCTTGGATTCTTGGCATTCATACCTTTTTGTTAAGAACAAATTTTGATTGAATATGTTGCAAGATGTTTGAGCCCTTTGAGCATACCGATTCATTGACACCTTTAGGTTTAAGTTGAATAAGACTACTATTCTATTTCAATTTATTTGCAACATTTACCTTAAATGAAAAATATAAATTATTTGTAACAATTGTTTTCTATCTCTCCTTATCAGTTATCACATGTAGTTTTATGTTTCTCTCTTCATTTACAACTCTCATAAACAAATTTTATGTTTCTCTCTCCATGCTCACCCTAATATTGATCCCATTCTATTTTTTTTTGTTAATATCTTATATCTTCTTTTTGACACATCACATTATTTTTCTTACACCTCACTTTCCTATCTCTTTGCCCTCTCCCATTCTTGTTCAATAATTTTATGCCACCCTAAAGGGTATCCTCTCATATATTCTCTTAAAGCAACATATACCCTACTGTAATTTTAATTATATTTAAGAAAATAATTATGATGAATAGCAAACTATTGACATATATTAACATTATATAATGGCAATCAAAGTACTAATGACAATTTAAAGCTGTAACTAGCATTTTAAATTGTTGTCGAACCTAGTTTTGCAAATATGATCGTTAATGCTAATCCTCCTTCTGATAACCGAATTATAATAATGTTATCCTAATTATTTTCGGCCACCTAAATAATAAAAATAAAAATTAAATTAAATTAATAAAATAAAACTACTAACAATAAAAAGTTCCAAGAGATGAATCTTTCATCATCAATATGCATCAGTAAGGTAACATTCTTATTTTTGTTCGTGTACCTTCGAATTACATCATCAGTAAGGTAACATTTTAGGGTACTCTGTCTTTTAATATATTTCATATTCAATCAGTCAATCAATCAATCAAAGCCTTAATCCCATAAGTGGAATCAGCTAACATGAATCAAATTTGATTATTCCATGTAGTCATCAACATAAATCTTCCTCCTCCATCCCTTACGATCCAATGCTTTATCCTCAAACAAATCCATATATATACACTTCATATCCTTCCTAACTCCTTCCAACCAAGTCATTTTCGGTCTCCCTCTCCCTCGTTTAACCCCTCGATGGTTTCACTCTTCCACTTTTCGCACTGGTGCACCCTCGGGTCTCCGTCTTACATGCCCAAACCAACGCATACGATTTTCGCAGTTTAGCTCATGTCATGGGATGTGACAAAGTTTTACACTGGTTGTCACTGACCTACCGAAACCCTCCTCCTTTATCCAGGCTTGGGACTGACAGCGGAAAAATCCACTGACGGAGTTTTTAATATATTTCATATTGTTTTGCAAAATTATTTCAAAAAAATTTGAAAGGTAAAAAATTTACAACTTGTACAATTTGCAAATACAACAAACCAAAAATAGTTGTTAATCAAATATAATACATATATTTATAACTATTATTTTTATGTAATAACAATTAGGCTTGAATTGGTGTATGATTTAGGCTTAAGTGATACTTTTATCAGGTTACAGGATACCCTACAAGTTCCGGTTTCAAAAAATTAAGAAGCTAAACCGGAACCTGTTACAACATGTTCTCCATTGTACTACCCGAAATCGAAACCTCTTGTACTGATTCCGGTTCCAAAACTTGCGGTTCCTAACAAGTTCCAGTTTTGATTTAGGGTATTCTGATTTTTTATTAACCCCTATCCTCTATCACTTAGTTATTATTGTCGTTTTCTTCAACAAAATTAAACAGTACGTAATCCCGATGTAGAAGAGACCCATAACTTAAGCTTTGATACCATGTAGTTATATTAGAACAAAACCAAGATTCTCACCTTGATAAACATCAAACATCAAATGTTTATCAAGGGGTAGATTGGTCTTCTCAAGTACAAAAGGAAGGCTTATTGTAAATGATCTTGTAATTGTCGTTACTCTCGTTTAAAGATTGTGAAGTTCTTCATCTTGTTCCATCCACACCTCTATCCTCTCCATCCACACCACCATTTTGACTTAGATTCCAACACCTTCATCTTCCTCGTATCCGCTGACATCGAATCATCATTTTTGGCGGCGAAGCCGTCGAAACTGAAGAAAATCCTAAGAAAAAGTAAAGAAAGAAAAGGTAGGGGCGGATCTATGGTGTGGCTTGGATGGCCTCACAAAAACTAATTTTTTATTTTTTAGGTAAAGGTGTAAATCTATATAGGTTAAATACAATTTTAATACAACAAATAACATCAAATTAGCTTTATCGTAATGCATTTATATTGGAGATAAAGTGTGGGATTTTGTGCTTAAATAGGTTTAAGTCTTTATACAAGCATTTTATTTATTGTTTTTTATTATTTGCCCCTCCACACTAAATATTCTACATCAAGATTAACCCTAAAGGATAGGGTGTTTGTCGTGGGAGAAACAGAAAGCTTCAATAATGGAGGAAGATGAAGAACCAAGCGGCAGAATGACTTTTAAAATACCAACTTTTTGCCGGTTGTTCATAAAGTAAAACAATTACTTATTTATTGTTAAAGCATGATATGAATAACAAGCAATTTATGTACCATATTGTTTTTTTATAAACATATAATGTTTCTCAAGGTGAAAAACTTGTATTCTCTCGTTATATTAGATTAGGTGGTCAATATACTCATTTACATGCATCTATAAAGCTAACTTTTCAAAATATCAAAATATATTGCAATTGCAAAAAGTTTATTGGCAAAGAAGGCGTCAAAATCAATTTTAAACAAAGAAAAATATACACGACTTGTACTACTCTCTTTGAATATCACATGACTAAAAGTACTTAGCCACTAATCCAACACTAATGATTAAGCTGTATAACATGATACATATTGTAAACAAAATGGAGAATAAAACTTTATTAAGTGTCGTTCAAATGCAAGTGGAAAAAAAAAAGCAAAAGGAATCGTATCAAATCTGAATCAATGACGATAACCTAGCTAGTGTTGCTAATCTATCTAATTACAACCTGATCAAATTAAACAATTTATAATGTCATCAACAAATTGGATGTAGCTAGTTGTCTTGCAACATTGCTGCGGCGGGACATCGCATTCATATTATAATTTTATACTAAATACTATTATTAACACTTGTTTTATATAATATATTATAATTTTATACTTTATACGAAGTAGTATACTTTATGTGTTTTCTTTTAAAAACAAGTCTTTGATTTTTACGCTTTCTGTATACTTTAAATCGACTAGTTTTGATGATTTATACTCAAGGAAAAAATAGGCATGTGGCCTGAGTTTTTGGTTCGTCTTGATTTATGCTTTATTAACATCTAATTTTTATAATTTTTACATGTCAGTAATAAAAAAATTTACAATTGAAATAACGCATGGTAAGCGTAGGGGTGCTAATTGAGCGAGCCGAGCTCGAATTATGGTCAGCTCGGCTTGTGTTTGTTTAAGTTTGTTGGAACTCAAGCCGAGCTCAAAACTTAATGAGTCGAGCTTTGACCGAGCCGAACTCGAACCGTTCACGAACAACTTTTGCCACGAATTTATATTTTTTTTTAATGAATATACTAACTCATTATTGTGTAATATCTATGATAAATATATTTATGTTTAATACATATATTTTTTTCATATAGAAAAAAATAATTAAGCTTATTCACATTTCGAGCTACTTGGCTCGTTAAGGTCCCGAACCGAACTCAAACCCGAGCCAAGCCACCACGAATCAAACTTTGACCGAGCCGAGCTCAAACTGTTCACGAACATGCTCAACTCATTACCACCCCCTAGGCAAGCGTGTAATGAGATGTTTTGTGTTAAAAAAAACAGAAAAAGTATTATATTTTTATATTTACTCTTAAACTAGATAATCATTAGAGTAGACGGATATGATAATATAATATGAACAAGCATATATATCAAGCTTAAAATCAAAAGGACAAATACACATGCATGACATCCACTAATTAATGAGATTTATACATATAATCCACTGATTACGTAGGTTGTGTGCCTTTTTCGTTGGTTTTGGACTTCTGACTTCATAGAGCAAACAAAACTAGCATAGGATTTATGCTGTCCTTATCTTCTTTTTACTAACTTGTGTAGCAAATGGTGCAACTTGAGATAATATTAAATAGCCCATTGTTCTTGTTTTGTGGCGATATGTGCAAACTCGTATGATTAAAGTAAAGAAGCTAAATGTTAATTTCATGGTTTCTTTATGTTGTGTTGTGTAGGTTGGACTAGGGCGAGCATCTTGTCATGAAGCATTATTCGTTGGGAGATTCTATCATTTGAATTGACCATCTTTGGGCCTTTGGCCTCTCCGATCAGCAGCTAATAGCTAGACTCGAGACCAATCAATTCTGACTGGTCCCTCATTGAGAAATGAACATTTTACTATAACGAAAATGAACATTTTCTAACTGAACATATTTTACAATAATATTGTATTTCCCAATTATTAAATGTTCATTTTCATGTTGTATGATGTTCATTCTTATAAAATAAATGATCATTTTCTTAACAAATTTTTGTGTTTGTTTGGTTGTATAAAATGTTCGTTTTTATAGTAAAGGATGTTCAATTAACATTTGCATTTATAATGTTAGACATTAGCATTTTGTTCATTATTAATAAAAAGTTTGTTGATTTATTTAATTGGTATTAAATCATATAGTTGAGCAAATTGCAAGATATTCATTCTAGAGAATTGAACAATCAAGGTATTCATTTGAAGCTTAAAAAAAATGTTGAGGAATACGCAACAACATTATATGTTCATTTTTATTTACAACTGAAATGTTTAGTTATATAATATTAGAGTACATTTTTTTCCTTTAGTTTCATAGTCTTTATTTGACTCTTATATTTTAAATGTTCATTTTTTATATATTGCAATGTTCAATTACTAAATGTTCATTTTTTATCTAGTAATTGCGCGGGACTAGCCAGCTTAGTTGATCGCGATTCCAGCTAAAAATTTGCGCTCTCCGATCTTTCTAGTATCACTTTATTATTGAGTGAGAAATTAAACTTGACGTAAAAATATTAGATTGGTTTTCAGTCCATGAAAGTAAAATTAGTACTCTCTTCGGACCTTTAATCTGTTGAGAAGATGTCTTGGAAGGATGTGGAGAACTCTTGGAGCATGAATAAGACAAAAGAGTAGTGGATGAATTGTAAATATGAACATTGGCATAAAGTACATTAAATAGGTAAATAGTACCATTAAATGCTTTAGTACATACTATAAATATTTTTGTAGTGGTACAAAAAAGTATATAAATTGTACATCAAATATTGTACCACTGTTACCTATAAATAGTACTACTAAGAACACCTATACTCTAAAAATATAAAATACATGTATAATAGTACATTAATATACCACTATAACAAAAAAAA